TATATTTTTTTTGAAGAAAAAAGTTTTCCCTCAATCTTCTACGTAAGACTTACTTGAGAATTTTACAGTAAATTTTTCTTATATTAATTTTTTTTTTATCAAACATACAAAAATTAATAATGAATAAAATTTTAACAAAATTTCATCATAAAAATGCAACTTTTCATATAATATTTTTTAACCTTTTGCATACTTAATATTTTCTTAACTATTTTTTCAATAAATTCCTTTCAAATAGAATTAGTCTCTAAGCAAACAAGACAATAGTTATGGTCACATTTAAAAGTGTTAAAACTACACAAATATTTATATATTGTTTTTTAAAATACTGGTTTACTAGAGTTTGATTGTGAGAAACAACTAATAATTGTAATTCTTAGTTAATAGAAAACAAAAGTACTAATATTTATTATTTAATATATTAAAATTAATATATTTATATCTATCTATATATTATATAAAATATTATTGTATGCAGTAATTAAGGTATACATTTAATAAATCTAATAAAAAAACAAAAATGCATGAGATAAAAAAAAATTAAAAATGATAAAAATAAATGATTAATGAAAGTGGTAGATGAAGAGGCAACTTGAATTTACTAATGTTGAACATGAAAATAATCAACGAGGAATGAAAGTGGTACATGAAGATGTAATATTAATTTACGAACTTTAACCAAAAAAAAAAAAAAATGTAGAGTCAAGTGCAACAAAAAAACCTAAGTCCTCTAACAATTGTATTTATTAGCTTAATATGAAAGATCAAAAGTCTAAATATTTAAAAACTCATAAATAAAAATTAAGAGACAAAAATGTAACATTAATTTACTTTTTTTTTAAAAAAAAAAATGAAGAGTCAAGAAATGAAAAATTAAGTGTTGCCTATTTAAAATCACTCATTCCCTCGAAGCTCCCTATATATATTCTTCTAATATTTCTTTTGCAATCGTCAACAACAATTACTGTAGATGAATTTAAGTGTTTTTAATTTTTGATAACAGAATCTAAATGTTTTGTTTGAAAGAGTTTTATTTTAATAAAAAATTTGATTTCAAAAAATAAATGTTTAGATTACTTAATTTAAGCTACATTTCAGAAAGATATATCAATTTCTCGTATTTAATGTTAAGAAAGATATATTAAAATGATCCTTGCAATACACAGGTATTAGATCTTATTTAACTACATTACATGTACAACACATGGATATTGAATTTTATTTAATTTTAATTCTTTAATTAAAATAAATGAGAATATTATCAGAATTTTTAAATGAAATCATAATAAAAAAAATAAACAGATATTTTTAAATTATGAGATAAATAATACTATTGAGTTTTTTTATGAAATCTCTTAATATTTCTTTTTTTAATGTGATTATGCAACTTTTTTAAAAAAAATATTTTTTTCCAATTACCAAATATAATCTCTTACTTAGCAAATGTAATAATTTAATTAGATAAAAAAAAA